ATAATTACCATTCGCGGTTGCTTTTATTCTTATAAATCGCGTTTTGGAATTTTTCTATTATAAATTAGCGTTGCGATTGTTGATTTATCGCGTTGTTGCCCCGTAGTGTTGCGATATTTAAAACGTCTAACTTCATCCCCACATGTGCCACTCTATTGTAGTTTGAAGTAGCTCGATGTAGTTAGTTTATTTCGTGCATGTATGTTTCTAACTACAACCGAAGACAGCACCTGATCCAGCGTTTTTGGGCAACGCGATTTGCATTAGAGTTGCGAAACACAAATATATTTCCATTAAAAATAGAGTTACGTATATACAATAATCGCGTTTGCTCGTAGAGTTGCGAATTCCTATTTTTCGCGTTCATTTTTCAGGGTAGCGTTGCGAATTCCACACGCGATTGCTTTTATCGTTATTTAAGAATAGCGTTGCGAATGAACTGATCGGTTTGCTCTTAGCGTTGCGAATCACTATTTTTCGCGTTGATTTTTCAGGGTAGTGTCGCGAATCACCATTCGCGGTTGCTTTTATTGTTAGAAATCGCGTTTGAAATTTTTATATTATAAACTAGCGTTGCGATCTTTACTTGTCGCGTTTTTTATTCATTAGAGTTGCGATTCAATGCCCAAAAAGCTGGCCAAAAGGTTGGCCACTGTATCAGGATCGTCGAGAAGCAAGCTTGGGACTCTGCAAAGCCTCGAATGGCTCAACGTCGTTATTAAAATTAGTGTTGCGTATTATTGAATATGGGTGCACGCGATTTGATTAATAAAAGAACTCTGTTTGCTTCATTTTACGAATAGCACCATTCGCGTATAGTTTTTTATTTTATAAATTAGCGTTGCGAGAGAAAGAATGGTCCACTCTCGGGTTGTTTGAATTTAACACGAGTGGACGTTTATACCAATTATGAGTTTATTCTCAAAAGAAATACTGCTTTAAAGCACTGCTGTGAATAGACCAATTGTTTTATTCTTCATAACGCGTTAAAATCTGTAATTTATGGGAATGTATTTTCATCACAGATTTGTGATGCATTTAAAAATTCTAAATTATGATTAATTTGATTGTAGATTAAATTTATCATAATATAGAATTTTTAAATGTTATTAAATATATCACCAATTTTTCATTATTAGAGTTATTTTTACGGGATATAATAACGTTTGCAATCCAATTGTCATTTATAAATAGCGAATTTTTTATAAATATTCTGTACTCTTTGCATGAATCAAAGTTTGTCCGCGATCATTGTTTTTTAATCGATGGAAAATAGAATGCTTGCATCAAAAGGATATGCAAATTGCAATTCGATTTTCATATTGAGAGCTAATTTCCGCGTAGAATCGACATTTTCGTTCGTCATTACTTTTTCTATACGAACCTAATTTAGTTTTGAATACAGTAAAATATAATTATTGCAATGTTTACGTCTCGAAAATTTTTTTATTTGACAAACGAAACAAAAAATAAAATTTACCATAATAAATGAATAAAATTTTCTATCTATTTTGTATTTATCTTAACACTGAGACGAATTTAATTTTTCGTTCAATTTCACGTAATATTTATGTTTTTAAATTTTTTGGTATCAATTTTTACTCGTGGAAGCTTTAGTACAAATATTAATTTCAAATCACTTTTACCATTAGTCTATCTTGACGGTGTATAATTATTTTTTTCTGTGTCCATTAATACACTTTCGTTTCAGCTATTAATCCTTTGACAAGTTCTTGTTACAGAATATAATAATCATCGAAGAATCGAATTGAAAATGGTACACGGATTCCATCTCGATCGCTCTTAGAGAAACATTTCATACAATTTTATTTATTATCTGCTTTATGTTTCAGGGAAACATCGTGGGATTAATCAAGACACCAAGAAGAAATTATTCCCCCATATTTCTTCGTTTTATATGAATTATATTTATTGAATATGAGTTTTTGTTTCAGGCAAACATCGTGGTAGTGACGAAGACACCAAGAAGAAATTATTTCCCCATATTTCTTCGTTTTATATGAATTATATTTATTGAATATGAGTTTTTGTTTCAGGGAAACATCGTGGGATCGATGAAGGCATCAAGAAGAGAATATTTCCTCGTATTTCTTGCGTACTTCAGATTGCGTTAGAATATAAGTACAAATGTATATAGATTATAAGATAAAAAAGCGTTCTCCAGCGTTTTATTAAGTACTACTGAAACGTGTGCGTAAATTTAAGTGGGGATGATTAATATTAAGGTACATATTAGTATTCTAATATGTAAGGTCCCATACGTGCAGTTGCACATTTCTAGTTGGATCTTCAGTGTCTTATCAGGCACTGTCATAATTAAGAAGGAACAATTAATAATAAAGTACATATCGGTACTTTAGTAATCAGGATTCGTACGTGCAGTTGCACATTTCAATTTCGTTTCCAAAAAAACATGTGATGGATCATCTCACATGTATCAACATTTTGTTAGGTTTTTCGATCTCTTCGTCAGTCAGAGTTCGTGCAGTTGCACATTGAAATTTCGTTTCTAGAAAACGTGTGTGTCATCTCACATGTATCGACATTTTGTTAGGTTCTTCGTCTCTTGATCAGGGCAGTTCTTTCAAGAACTCTCCTTTTCTAATTTCTAACTTTTCGATAGCTTCTCTCTTGGATAGGTGTTCGAATTCCTCGCCAAAGGAAGGGTGGTTGGGGCGAGGCTAGGGCGGGTCTCCATACGCAGCAACCTCCTCGTGGTGAGACCCGGGTCATATTATTTACTATGCAATTAATATAATTATTAATTACATAGCAAATAATATGAGCTAATGGCTGCGTTCTTCTCATAGTCTCGCACACCTTCTTCGTCCTGGTGTGCGAATAACACTCATTTCGAGTCTCAAATACGTTTTTCCAGAGTTATTTTTTAAATAAATTACAATTTAAAATGAAAAACAGAGAATTCGCGGTGTTCTTATAAACTAGGTACATTCTTACTTATTTTAATAATCTTGGTATCTTTAAATAATCTTGGTATCTTTGAATAACCTTAATCGATTTGTTACTCCAATGAAATTAATCTATCGATGCTCAATTTTGAACTATACAGCTTTCAATCCGTTAAAAAATACTAAAATTTCTGTATTTCATTCTCATTTTTTGTCTCACTTCTTCTTGTGTTCGTTTCTAAATCTGTCGGTAACGTCGCGAGTGACACGGGAATGGTAATGGTAATGTGGTCTCGAGACTCCAGAGAAACGGCCCGAAAAAATACATTAGGTTGAAAGATCTACTCCTATACTTCGTCTGTGGTTATGTTCATCGATCCTAATTCAATGAATAATTTCCCAAATAACCTCTATCCATGAAAAAATGTCACACAATATCATGTGTGGCCAGAAATATTTGCCACCTCGTCTGTGTCTATTCCCATCGATCCTAATTCAGTGAATAGATTTCCAAATAACCTCCATCCATGAAAAAATGTCACACAATATCATGTGTGGCCAGAAATATTTCCCACCTCGTCTGTGTCTATTCCCATCGATCCTAATTCAGTGAATAGTTTCCCAAATAACCGCCATTCATGAAAAAATGTTACACTGTTAGGGTATAATCTTCCTGTAAGTTGGCAATGATGTGGAAGTATGTGTGGTGAAGTGTGTTGTAGGGAGGAGCTGAGAGATGCGTAAAAGACAGATAGGAACGTGGAAGTAAAAAAGTGTAAAAGAGAGTACTAGAAGAATTCAAAAGAAAGGAGAATGTTACTTGAAATTGTTTTTCGTATTAATCAAGTTTATTGAATTTAAATAAAGTATTGTTTGTGTTAAAAGATAATTCCGGGATCTGAAATTATTTGAACCACGTGCTAACGCAACACACACAATATCATGTGTGGCCAGAAATATTTCCCACCTCGTGTGTGTCGTAACTCTCGTCTCGTTTAGTTGCAATTCTCACCACTGGTGGCGTGGCTATCTCATTCCATTGTAGGTCGGTCAAGTTGGATTTTACACCAAAATGGTTATAAAAGCACAGACTAGGTATATCATATACCTCGTTTGTGATAACAGCAATGATTCTCATCTTATCTTCTTCGTTTGTGCTTCTTGAATCACATTTAATATTCATTTCCCTGATAAAAATAATAGTATGTTATATATACGTAATGTAGCACACAAGTGATGGATCGTTTTTGCACAGTTTATTTGCATTACAATTTGTTGTTACATTTGCAAGCTTAATCCTCATTTCTCAAGTAAATTCCAGTTCGTACGATCATCTATCACAAAATGCATGCAACGAATCAGCAAACATACCGACACGTATGTATTTACATTTAATTCTAACCTAGATAACGCTGCTCGAAATAAATCGTTTCGCTTTCAATACGTATTCCAAAACTCAATAATCAATCAAGTTGGAATCGTCGACCAATTTATAAGCAATCGTTAACACGCAATAGACTCAGCGGCACTTTGTTAGAGTAACATTCGATCTTAAATGTAAATCGAGAGCAACATCGCGACGAATAAAATTTAATCGATCAAATAGCAACACATGATTAATGACTAACATATAATGGTAACGATAGAACACGCCCACGCGATCATGTGTGACATTAACTGGCGTAAACTATGAGTAGACTATGAATATTCAGGCGAGGGTAATTAACGTCACCTCGATTTTTCGATCTCGCGTTCGTAAATAAAGTTTCTTAATGCAACTCAACGGTAACAATATATATAGCGATAATTCGACTCGAATTTATGCGATTTATTCTTCCTTGGACGATCGAGAATACGAAAACATTGTCTTCGAGAAAATCAACAGCGAAATTTTTGTAAATTATTTTGTATAAAATGCGTGTTGTGTCCTTGGGAAAAATTAATTATTATAATTAGACTGCGGATCTTTATGCAAATTCACATTTTTGTTAATAAAATTTATAAACCCCTAAATATAATAATTCGTATCTTACTTGAAGAATTTCTTATATTTTTGCATATTAAATTGAGGATTAAAATTTCCCATAAATGCATAAACATCCGTAGACTAATTATAATTATTCACGATCGTAGCTTGATTTTTAGCATTGTTCGTCTTATCGAATTCTCTAAAAATATATCCGTTTGCTCGAGAAGGTCGTGCCAAGTCGCGAGAAAAAAGAATAACATTCAATTTCGCAATTTCCTTTCCCACATCGCAATCTTTCGTAAACATCTTCGTATCTTCGATTGACAGAAGGAATAATCGAGGCTCCTGAGAATGAGAATGCCCGCGAGTCGAAGAGAATCAAAGAATCGACCGGTCTCTACATTCCTTCGACTTTCGCCATTTTAATTCCCATGTTGAAGTCGAGCGCGCCAAATTCAAATCGCGTACTCGTTCGACTTTTTAGTTTAGAGAATGTTTACACGTTCGCGTCGCGTTGGAGGCGAAAAATCGCGAACAAAAATGACGATGAACGTTGCGGGAGAATTATTCACGATCGTACGTTTCGTGGAAAAGTTCGCGCGAGTAGTCTTCGTTGTTGAACACAGTCACACGGACCAGCCATGGTTCCACGCTTGTAACTCATAAATTTAAACGCTATATACTCTGAACAACAACTATGAACACAACGAACGTAGCGATTAAACCGCAGTAACGTATAACAGGATACGTGGTAAATAATGGCGATCGAAACTCGAAAAATTCCAGACGGGATTTCGACTTTTTTTTGTTTTTTTTTTTGTCGAAAAATTAGTGTAGAAACGACGTATGTATGTATGTCTCGTCCCGCGTGAAATTTTTAGTCTTCGATCGTCAATACATAGAATTATAAATACTTGAATGTTTCTCGGGGAATCGATAAATAAAAAGACACTAAAAATTTGTCCAATTTAAAAATATCGGTCTTCCAAAAGCGTATCGATCGGAAACGATAACGATCGTAGTAATCTGTGGGATTAAGATTCAAAAGTCCAAAGCTATTATCTTAAAACACCGAAACCAATTGGGGCCTCGAGGTTCAATGCACAAATAGATCTCGATAACGAAATTTTGTAAACGATAAAGCACTCTGTATAGAAGAACTGCTGATAAAACACCCGTAAAACACTGGTAACTTTGTAATTGATTTAAAAAAAAAGAAATCTTCCCCGAGAATATCGATGCTTCGTCGATCGAAAACGATAACGATCGCGGTAATCTGTGGGATTAAGATTCAAAAGTCCAAAGCTATTATCAACACCGAAACCAATTGGGGCATCGAGGTTCAATGAACAAATAGATCTCGATAACGAAATTTGTAAACGATAAAGCACTCTGGGTAGAAAAAACTGCTGATAAAACACCCGTAAAACACTCGTAACTTTGTAATTGATTTAAAAAAAGAAAAATCTTCCCTGAGAAACATTTTTACACGCGGAGGAACGTCGTACGTGAAAGCTCTTAACCTTTCGAGAAATAAAAGACATTACAAAACGCGTAAGTGAACGTCTCAGCCTCTTGCAGCTCTTTCTGTGACTAGAGACACGGGAAACCTTCGAATTATGGTTGCATAATTTACAGAAAAGAATCAATTTCGAATACTAGTTATTAAAATATTTTAAATTTTTAGAATTTTTATAAAATAATCATCGTGAAACTGTCGCCATAGTCTTGAATAGTTCGAAAAAAAGCAAATTATGCTTGCAAAATTTACAGAAACACTACAAATCAATTTCAAATACCCGTTATTAAAATATTTTAAATTTTTAGAATTTTTATAAAATAATCATCGTGAAACTGTCGCCATAGTCTTGAATAGTTCGAAAAAAAGCAAATTATGCTTGCATAATTTACAGAAACGAATCAATTTCAAATACAAATTGTTAGAATATTATACAAATATTTTAAATCTTTAGAATTTTTATAAAAAATAGACATCATGAAATGTTTCCCCATCCCTGTCGCCTGAGTCTCGAATATTCGAAAAAAAGCAAATTATGCTTGCATAATTTACAGAAACACTACAAATCAATTTCAAATACCCATTATTATAATATTTTACATCTTTAGAATTTTTATAAAATAAACATTTTGAAACGTTTCCCTGTCTCTGTCGCCTGAGTCTCGAATATTCGAAAAAGAGCAAATTATGCTTGCATAATTTACAGAAACAAATCAATTTCAAAACACCTATTATTAAAATATTGTACAAATATTTGAAATCTCTATAATTTTTACAAAATAAACACCGTGAAACGTTTCCCCGTCCCTATCGCCATAATCTCGAATGAAAAAAAGCAAATTATGCTTGCATAATTTACAGAAACAAATCAATTTCAAAACACCTATTATTAAAATATTGTACAAATATTTGAAATCTCTATAATTTTTACAAAATAAACACCGTGAAACGTTTCCCCGTCCCTATCGCCATAATCTCGAATGAAAAAAAGCAAATTATGCTTGCATAATTTACAGAAACAAATCAATTTCAAAACACCTATTATTAAAATATTGTACAAATATTTGAAATCTCTATAATTTTTACAAAATAAACACCGTGAAACGTTTCCCCGTCCCTATCGCCATAATCTCGAATGAAAAAAAGCAAATTATGCTTGCATAATTTACAGAAACAAATCAATTTCAAAACACCTATTATTAAAATATTGTACAAATATTTTAAATCTCTATAATTTTTACAAAATAAACACCGTGAAACGTTTCCCCGTCCCTGTCGCCGTAGTCTCGAACGAAAAAAAGCAAATGGCCGCCAAGAAAGAATCTCGAACGATATGGCAGCGTGTGAAGCGTACATAGGTGTTTGTAGAAAAATTGAACGCTTAAAAAAAAGAATTGTATCTAATATATATATATATATACTATATGTATTTAACGGTGACGGGAGAAAAATAAAATTATTTATCGAGTAATAAAATCGTGGTAGGCGCTTCGATCTCGATACGAAGGCATCTATAGAAAAACCGTAATAAAAATCTGTTTTCCTGCGGATGAGATTCAGGAATTTCGTTCCTCTCTTTAATCTTTTGGTTTTTGCTTCTTGTTAAAAGCTTGTTCAGTCGAAAACACAGGCGAGAACACGGACGAGACAGTTGCCGATTCTCGCGCAGGTTTTCTGCCCTTGGCTCGCGCACTCCTTCCTCCTGTTCTTCCGGTTGTCCTGTCGCTCCTTTTTACCGGACATCGTGTAACTTTGGTTCTCGTAACACGGTACACCGATTCTCGGGGCGCTCGAGAGTCTGGACAGTGGACCAGCGATCGATCCTCGAAGCTACGAACAGAGAAAGTCGAGTTCAGTTGTTGGAAAACCTTCATAAAATGGTCTCAAAGATGTCCAATTGGGTTTGAAAAAATTTCGATCCGTAGTTAGCTCGTCGATTCTCTATTCAACGAAAGGAGCTTCGAAATGTGATCGAAATAGAAACGAAACGTCTCGATTTCGATAGTGGCGAAATGGTCTCACAGACGTCCAATTGGGTTTGAAAAAATTTCGATCGGAAATTAGCTCGTCGATTCTCTATTCAACGAAAGGAGCTTCGAAATGTGATCGAAATAGAAACGAAACGTCTCGATTTCGATAGTGGCGAAATGGTCTCAAAGACGTCCAATTGGATTTGAAAAAATTTCGATCGGAAGTTATCTCGTCGATTCTTTATTTAACGAAAGAAGCTTCGAAATGTGATCGAAATAGAAACGAAACGTCTCGATTTCGATAGTGGCGAACGTGGCTGTTCTTTATTAACGAATATCAAATCGCGTACTCACGTAACGTTGAATCGAATAGCGCTGGGAATTGTATACAAACTAGTTGCAGCTTTGCTTCGTTTACGGTTTCCTCTACGCAGTATCGTCGTTCCGTCACGTTTCGGGCTTCCGATTCTTCGTAGCATGGCTCCCGTAATGTGCAATCAAGGGATACAATTTTTCTGATTGCGTTACACGTATCCCACGAATTTGCCACGAGTCGAAATTTTTCGAGTCAAACATCGTAAGTTTTTATAACGCGTTTGTGTGTTATAGTACACGTTGATATTGTTTTAGACGACGCTTCGGATGTTGGAAATTTTTTCAAAATTACTTTGGACATCCCAAGAACCCAGGAACCTCCCTTCTTAGCCTCTTTATTATTTCCAAATCTACTGATCTTTATAAGCAAATAAGAAACAATTTAAATAATTCATTTTGGAAATTTTTTCAAAATTACTTTGGACATCCCAAGGACCCAGAAACCTCCCTTCTTGGTCTCTTTATTATTTCCAAATCTACTGATCTTTATAAGCAAATAAGAAATAATTTAAATAACAGCGTTTGAAAGTTTTACTGCGAATAACGTGTACTGTGGAGACGATAATTGTTCGAACAATGGTACAACAATAGAACTTTACCCGAGCTCCAGCCATGTGTAATTAATAGTAGCCACAAGAGTCCACGTACGACTACCGACTAATTTCTCGAGTAAACAATCAAATATAATGGTCAGATACTGTCCGATTTCGGAATTAGCGAGCTCTTGATTACAATTTGATCGATAAATCATTAACAAAAGAGTCGAGAAGGCGGTGAAAGATAAAGTATTTTTTTCATTAAATGATTACGAATCGCTGATTCGTGATTGCAGGTTACACATGTACTCGAAGTAGTATATACTTATTACATAGTGTGTACTTGAAATGAACATTTATAATAGTAATCTGACGGTAAACTACTGCTTGAGAGTGTTTATGTTTACAATGGAGAATCTATAGAATAATAGTAATGGCATAAGTGCACTTTTGCGACTGTTTTTGTACACGAAAAACGTGATTTTTAAACTGTGAGTACTTAAATCAGAACTTAATACATTGTTAGAAATTATAATGTTGCTTCACCGAGTCCGAGCAATTATTTGTCTGACAGCATACGTTGTGATAACTGATATGGTTGTTGCAAGTATCGAAACGAGACTCCTGCAGAGTGTCGGTGTCTCTCGATGATAAAATTAACAACATCTTTCTGCCATTTTCTCTCTCCCGTGGCTGTAATAATCGTTACTTCGAGCAAGTGTTAAATAAAAATGCAGGGATAATTTTTTTAATGAGTTATTAAATGTACAGATCAATTATGAAAGTAAAATACACGAGTTAGAGTTTAGAGAAACACTGGCAATTCGATATTTGGTAGATTTCAGTTGCACACGATAAATTGATTCTCTGTATAGTGATCACCATAGAACACGAATCTGCTACATAAACGATTCCTGACACTACCATCCTCATACGTTTGTTCGATCGTTTGTTCTCTCTAGGCATCTCCTCCAATGCACTATGCATTTTTATTCGATAACACTTTCTAATAACACGATTCAATGCATCGTAAGATGTGTTTATTTTCCATTTGAATCGGTCGAAACGCGAAAGACTGAACGGTACGCGCCGCGCGAAAGATGGCGGAAGACTGAAATAATAATTCGATAGAATGCTCTCCCGTTAACTGGTATTTAGACACGCGGTTAAACCAATAAGTCAAGGAAGAGATAAAAGAGCAGTGCCTGATAGTGATCACGGTCACTAGTTTCAAAAATGAGATAACTATCAACCCTCGATAAGATTGTTGTAGTTCACTTCAGGCCTGAAACGTGCTCGAACCTGCATTTCTCGTGAAAAAACGATCCATCGTGATAGAAATTATCAAAATAGTATTAGAACAGAAGTCCACTGTTTCGTAATAGGGTTTAAGTTATGAATAAAACTTGTCCAGTGATATGGCGCGTTGGAGGCGCTGGGTCACCGTCCGATCACAGAAGTGCAGCATCATCGCGCCGCGTGCAGCTCGGGATGGGTGGTTACCGGCTCGGGGAAAAAAACCCTCGTATATTGATTCTACGCTCGTTACATGTATTAATATCTCTCTATCGGCATTGCAATTGGTCATTACTAAGCCCCCGTTAATTATAAAAAGAAACTAAAATTCGGAAATAATAAAAGTAAATTACAAGTGCAATAAAAAATGGACAAAAATAAAAAATTGAGGGGAAAAAGAAATTCACCAAGAAAACCCGAGTTTACGGTTCCCTCGTGTTACAAATACGAAGACGAGGAAGTGTACGTACAACAAACTACTGTATATGGTATTTGAAACGTGCATAATTGTAGTTTACAACGCCCAAAGTGTGTTTGAATCAAAATTACAAATTACCTCGTTTCCGTCGCGACTTTGAGTGTGTCCAAGAATCCTAGCAACGATGAAGGCGGACTCTTCGCTGGAGAGTACGCCGCTGGCCATTGGTCCCTCGATGAACTCTCTGTCCGTCATCAAAGGGTACCGAACGCTGTACCAGACTTCGTCCGATAGAGTTGCTCTCTTGTTGCTGGCCGATGGTTCCACGCCTGCTCTTCTGCACTCCGATGCAGCGCACCTGTCCAACGCGTGGAACAGGACAGACTCGTTGGTCAGCCTCAGACTATCGCGACACGCCAGTTCCTCCACTTCCGCGACGCTCAGCTCCTCGAAACGCTCCTGGCCGAAGACCACTTCCGGCTCCGCGTCGATTATGTCCAGACAGGCGTCCAACAGTCGCGTACAGACCGCGGCTATATGTATATCGTTTTTAGAGGAAACTCGTGTGTAACAAAAACATGCAGAAAAGTTTCAAACTTATTAGAAGACATTAAAGCATACCAATTGCTCTAAATAACTAAATATGATCCACTAGGTAACCCAATTGTGGTCACTAATAACCAACAAGGTGCATGTGACCTAAAACGCTCAAAAAAAAAGATATCAACTTTTTTTTTTTTTTAATTAAATTGTCCCTGAAAAGGGGGATGCACTTTTTTTAATGCAAGGTGGCATTATTCTTTATATTATTATTATTATTCTTTACATCGATTTACATTGTTCAATGTTATTGGATTTAGTGACTAACGAAATAGCAAGAGGATAATTCCACGTTCCATTTAAAAGAACAAGTCGATATCTTCGTTTCTGGGAAGACAGCTTGTAACACTTTATTCGGTACAACTTTGGTGTAACGATTATACAGTGTGTACAGTGGAGATAAGAGGATAGGTTCATTAGGTTTTATTGCATTTATTTCCCGTTTCGTAACACCACGTGATCTCTTGTAACTTTATAGTATTCTTAGCTAATTTCAAATGCTGGAAATCAATTTTTACAGTGGGTGGTCACTTTTGAAAAATTTCAAGCAAATTTTTGGGGACGGAACAAATAATCTACTCGATATGGTGGGATTTTTATGGAACGTTTAATTTTTTATTTACACTTTAGCGTTCGAGCAATCTGGTAATCGATTTAATGAGTGTCTTTGGAAATATCTGATCGTTAATTAATTTTATTAATTTTAATGAATACCCAAAACTGGGAGAATTTTCCACGTTCACTTGGCTATCAAAAATCAAATAAAAAAGCTAATTTTCTTTCGACACAGAGCGGGAAAAATCGATATTTTGATATTAACACTAGAACTACCAAACCAGTCAAAATGACCCATTCGTAATTTCTAATAAAACCTGTAAAACATTTACTCGACTGAATTTTTGGAAATTTACCGTAATTTTCTATAAGAGAGTGAATAAACACTTATTTCCATTGAATTATACATTTCCTCGCGTACCTATAAACCTAACTAGAGTTAAAAAATGATTTACAAAGTGGATCCTTTCCGTCCCCGAAAACCGGAAGAGAATATTAGACAAATTTTGCAGAGTTGCTACGTGGAAATTGGTCGATTAAAAATACAAAAACAGTTAGGTCTGGGTTAGGTCACTTTTACCTATTTCACCAGCGTCGTCTCCGGGGGGTGGCGGCGCGGAAGGCGAGTTAGGCGACCTCGAGAGGCCGGAAGTCGCGTGATTCGCGTAGAGGTTGAGACCTTGGTAGATCTCCAGGACAGTGCCCGCGTTCAAGTTCCTCTCCAGGTACTCGACAGCCAGGCGTGACAATTCCGGGCAAAGGTACTGATGGGCAGCGTCGAGGGTGGCTCTGGCCGTCGACACCGATTGGAAATGTATCGGCTCGTCGAGAAGATATCTGCGCAGAAAGGTTCACTTCGAAGTCGATACCGAACAGAACAGACAGTTGCCTAACGGGTCGCGCGTGTTCGTGGATGCACTTCTAACCACACTTCTAAATCCCCCTGCAAGAATAATTGTTCGGTGCTCTGCATCTGCAGCATCTCCCGGGGCGTCCAGGTTTGGTCAATTTTCGTTTGCAAGTAACCGCCAACGGGAACAGGATCAGGAAAATGATCCAGAAATACGCGATCGTCCCCACCACCGCGATTGTCTGCAAAGACAACGTCGACATGATCTAGAAAGATCCTGGAAAAATCTCTCTCTCTCTCTATTGCGCGAAAGTATTTGTTTTATTCGATATGTTGGAAGATTTTCGTCGCTGAGGAATATTTGTGGAACTCACTGTACCCCTGAAATCTGTATTATTCCCTTTATCGTTTGGGTAGAAAACTAGAAACCACCCCTCGAGACCTTGGTTTTACAATGGGGAATGGCGACGTTGGCTGACCTTCGTCTCCCCTTCTATCGATTACGCAACTGTCTTCGGGGGATCGAAATTAACGATTCAAATTTTTCTCTTACGTCGATCGTCTTACTTGCAAACGAAGATTCACTGTTTACAAATATAAAGAGTGTTCTACCATCCTTGATCTCGAGATCTAATAATTTTTTTGCCATGGTACCCTAATCATTTTTTACGCAGAATGAACGGAAGAATCGATCTGTCTAAAAAAAAATATGCACTTCTATTTGAAGAAATGATGCAATTGTTAATTGCACATGCACTGATGCATTTAAGAAAAATTTAAAGGTCTACAGATGTAGTGCTCTTCGAACCATTTATCTTTTTCCTTTGGCATTTTTTCGGAAATGCGATAATAACGGAGTTATGACTTGTAACAATTGCGTGGACCACTCTGTATATGTGTAGGTAGTATACAGTGTGTACGGACGTGTGACAGATACGGTATTATGTTTCTTCAAAGTACCTTAAACGCACGACTCGAAACAACATCGATTGCGACCCGATCGTAGAGTTTCTGCGTGGCTGCGTGATATCGATGCAATATCTGTCGTTTTTTTTTGTTTTTTTTAATACGCGATTTACCTGAACAGATAATCGAAAGCACGCTTTTCCACGTGTTGGAGTCGTACCGATGGCGGTGGATCGGTAGCTGCCGGGGCCAGTGGACCGAACAGCATCGCTCGGAACCATTCCGATCTTGACGCGAGACGTTCCCTTTCTACGCAGTACCTCCATGTGTCACCAGGTAGACCGGCCTATATTTATCCGCAGTCAAACAGACACTTTTTCATTTATCTCTTCGCGACGCAGTTCGATGCAAATTTTATCGAAAAAAGACCGCGTCGAGAAGATCGTGTTTGGACCTCGATGGGTGTTTTCGCGAATTTTTTTAAGGGAAACGTGAACGTTCGATCGTGAGGAAGCTTTTTTGTTATGCAAAGAGTATGTCAGAATTTTTTTTTTTTTTATTTCTACTGTTCGTTCGTACTCGGAGAAAATGGCGAATTTAACGAAATTCTGTATAGCAAATAGCAATAGTTTCGAATCTACGTTATTTATTTATTTATTACACGAATATTTATTAGTTACTTTTACTGTGGAACGATACTGAAATTTAACATCGTGGATAGAATAATTATTGCAAGATTTTTGGGGTATGTGGGTCATTTTTTGTTTTTCGTACCTCGAGCACCACCATGTTGGTCGAAGATTCCGTGGGTCGTTGGTTTTCTTCGTTCGCGATCAGAGGTACCTGAGACATGTCCCTTGGCGAGCCCTTGAATATCACAATTTCTTTGGAGGGGTGTCGCGCGATCACAGGGAGGATTATTGTCTTGGAGTAAATTCGGTTCCGTACACCCTCACGGATCTTCTGGCGAGACTTTTCAGACTCGCCGCGGGCGCATCGTGACCCGTCGCCTGCAACAAAACACGCGAAAATATTAATATTTACATGCTCGATAACAATTTAATTTTATTGCATTGTTTTTTGGGGGAAGTAATTTGGAGGTTTCGATCCCAAAAACTAGATAACAGAGAAATGAATTGTTCAATATTTGCTCGATATTGGAATTCTTTATATCTATATAGGGGTAGTTTTTTGGGGGATGATTTTAAGTAGCAAGTAACTTGTAAATTTCAATTCCAAAACCCTGTTACTGTTATTGTTACTAATAGGGAAAAATATTGTCCAATATTTGATAAATATTGGAATTCTTTATATCTATATAGGGGTAGTTTTTGGGGGGATGATTTTAAGCAGCAAGTAATTTGTAGATTTCAATTTCAAAATACTGTTGCTAACAGAGAAAAATATTGTCCAATATTTGCTCAATATTGGAATTCTTTATATCTATATAGGGGTAGATTTTTAGGGGATGATTTTAAGCAGCAAGTAACTTGTAGATTTCAATTTCAAAACACTGTTACTAATAAAGAAAAATATCCTGAAATCTCGAAAGCTCGATACTGGAGTCCTCTATATCTATACGGGGGTAGTTTTGTAGGGGATGATTCTAACCAGTAGGAAACCTATAAATTTCAATTCTAAAACACTGTTACTAACAGAGAAATATATCCTGAAATATTTGCTCTATACTGGAGTTCTTTATATCTGCACAAGGGTAGTTTTTCAGGGGATGATTATAACCAGTAGGAAACTTGTAAATTTCAATTCCAAAACACTTTTGCTAACAGAGAAAACTATCCTGAAATATTTGCTAGATAATGGAGTCCTTTATATCTGCACAGGGGTAGTTTTTTAGGGGATGATTTAAAGCAGTAAGTAACTTGTAGATTTCAATTCCAAAACATTGTTGCTAACAGAGAAAAATATCCTGAAACATTTGCTCAATATTGATATCTTCAAATCTACACAGGGGTAGTTTTTGGGGGGATGATTTTAAGCATCAAGTAACTTGTAAATTTCAATTCCAAAACATTGTTGCTAAGAGAGAAATATATCCTTAAATAGTTGTTCGATGCTAGAATCATTTATATCTACACAAGGGTAGTTTTGTAGGGGATGATTCTAACCAGTTAATAACTTGCAGATTTCAATTCCAAAACACTGTTGCTAACAGAGAAATATATCCTGAAATATTTGCTCTATACTAGAATTCTTTATATCTACACAAGGGTAGTTTTGTAGGGGATGATTTAAAGCAGTAAGTAACTTGTAGATTTCAACTCCAAAACACTGTTGCTAACACAGAAAACTATCCTGAAATATTTGTTCGATACTAGAATTCTTCTATCTACACAAGGGTAGTTTTGTAGGGGATGATTCTAACCAGTAAGTAACTTGTAGATTTGTAGATTTCAATTCCAAAACACTGTTGATAACACAAAAAACTACCCTGAAATATTTATTCGATACTAGAATCCTTTATATCTACACAGGGGTAGTTTTTTGGGGGTTGATTCTACACCGTAACTTCTCCACTGTAACGAAGAAACAATTTTTAAAAAATTGTTCAGTACCAACGCGTTTCAATATCATCATTGTGTCACTGTTAGAAAAAATACACATAATATTCCAATATTTACAACATTTTTCAATCGTTTCATAAGCTTTGCGAACTCGAAGCGAGTTATCAGAGAATCGCGATGATGGCCGTTATCGATCCTAACATATTGTTTTGTTTCTCTTTTGTTGTTCAGTCCGAATATGTCTCCCTGAGAGTACGGCATCGTCTTTGTATTTAATTTGTGTTTAATTTGCTTTTAAATATACGTTTATATCGAATGTGTCAGCTCATTACAAAACCCCAACAAGAGCACTTCCCGTTATGACGATATTTACCAGAGAAATGGCGACAGTTTGCACGTTTTTTCTCCTTTTTTTTTTATTGTATCTCCCGTGAATCATTTCCTCGAACGGAATAACGCGACGTAGAACAGAGAGATCGGTCGAGTGAGGTTCTCATTTTTACGCTTTTTATCGGGAAGCTTGATGGGTGTCCTGCTCTGCAAACACTCGGAGAACAGCAGTATCTAAACCATACAAAGGTTTGGCAATATTTGCAGCAGATAGTATCTCGCGTTAGATATTGATTTTTTCTTTTCATTATAACAATCTTCCTCCGGGTCATCGATCGAATTATTCTCCGTTTATTGTCTCAAAGTTTAAATTGAAATATCAATATGTACACATGTACATATATTTCAATTATAGAATCGTTTCAAATTCACAAGTTTCTTTTTAGTGTACATAGAGTTGAAATGTGTAATTTTTCAAATATTGTTCTCAGTCTAAGAACATGAAATGTTGATGTCAGGGAAGCCTATTATCGCAACTATCGATTATTTGCGTGGGCGTGCCCTTATCGATCGATTATTGACACGGGTGTGTCGCGAAATTAATTTTCAACAAATTAACAAATTACAGAGTTCTCTACGTCCCTTGATGCTCCCCCAAAAAAATTCTCATCGATGTCAAGCATCAAAAAAAAAAAAAATGTAAAACTATCGTATTTCTAAACTTTCGATTAGAAGAATAGAAAAGAGCTTTTGATTTTGTTATCTATCGATCGCAATTTCCTGTAACGATTAAACGCGTTGCTTAGAGACTACGGCGTTGCTTATTCATAGAAATATTATTTAAAAAAAAAAATACTGTAAATTGCATTTACCAATATTTCTGTCTGAATTCTTACCGTAAGCAATTGTCATTTTGACAGACACGGTTTCCACTCTTGTCACTTTCGGAAACTTCGTTTATCGAAATGTTACAATTCCAAAGATACCGGGTATCATAATTTCCGGTTTCAGTTACTATTAACCGGCAGATTAACGTAACTCTACACCGGTCCACGAGATAAATAATTTTCACGACAGCAATACCAGAGATACCAATCCCGAGCACTCGAGTTTCACGTGTATGTAAACTTCCAAACGCTTTTCACTCGTGTTTCCTCAATCATCTTCATTTTCTCGACGATCACCAAGCTGGTGAAAACAGAAACAATCTTCACAAGTTTTAATAAGTCCCAACAACGCGTCAAATTTGACTCAAGATTATTAAGAAAGGATTTTTCGAAGACATCGTTCTAATTGTATAACAATCGCGTGTTTCGTCGATCGTTTTCATTTTCTCGACGATCACCAAGCTTGTGAAAATCAGAAACAATCTTCACAAGTTTTGGAAAGTCCAAACAACGCGTCAAATTTGACTCAAGATTATTAAGAAAGGATTTTTCGAAGACATCGTTCTAATTGTATAACAATCGCGTGTTTCGTCGATCATCTTCATTTTCTCGATGATCACCAAGCTGGTGAAAACAGAAACAATCTTCACAAGCTTTGGAAAGTCCCAACAACGCGTCAAATTTGAATCTAGATTATTGAGGAAGGATTCATTCGAAGACGTTGTTATAATTGTATAATAATCGCGTGTTTTAAGCGGGGAACGGACGCAACAACCCTTCCCGAGCGAGCGACCTCGCTCGACTGACAGATCGATCGCAACTCCAGGCGACTGCAACGAGTGAGTCAGGCCCCGTGGGATTCGTTTTGATGTAAACGAACGCGCTCGCGTTTTATCGACCGTGACGACAACCATTTTATAAACACCGGAGAAAAGGTCGCCAAAGGGTCGAAGATCACGGTGACGTTTCTTGTGGACCGCGAGATTGGGCCTTATCGGTTCCTCGAACTGTCATCGGCGCTTCCCGGGGGCGACAGGATGACAGAGCTCTTTACTTTGGAAACTCCGAAACACTTGCTTCCTCTATGGCAAAACAGATAAACTCAAAATCAATTCTTTTGAGCTATTTTTAATTATCAATGTTGATTTCAACACTGGAACTACCAAATCACTCAAAATAAATTGAAACACTTGCTTTTTCTATGGTAAAACAGATAAACTCAAAATCAATTATTTTTATTTATCAGAGATGATTTTAACTCAAAAAACCAGTCAAAATGACCCATTCGTAATTTCTAATGAAACTTGTAAAAAATTTACTCGACTGAATTTTTGAAAAATTGTAATTTTCTATAGGAGAATATATAAACACTTATTTCTTCGCGTATCTATCGTTTCAATTTCTTTTCCACAAATAAACACACTATAATCATCGGTACTTCTAGCATTAATTAATACAAAAACAGAATTTCTATTAAATTTTACTCGAACAATCCTTGGTCTTGGATCTTGGAATTTAAAAAATAGTTTCGTACAATAACATCTACGATAAAAAAAGAAAATGGAATCGACGAAGACGCCAATAGGGAAATATAAATCAATTTGGCGCCCATTGGTGGCGTTCCAGCGATCGATACGAATCAGTCGACTGTAATGCGATAATACTCGGTGATAATTGAACGTAAATTCTCTCGCGAGGAAGCATCTCGGGACTGGTGGTATCCTGGAATGCCTTTTATCGATACTTCGAAGCATTGGAAACTGCTGCAAGTAGCAGTATGCCCGCGCCCTGATAAAACGCACACGGCCGGCTCGAATTACAAACAAGGAACATGACAACAATATTTAGCATTCCCTGCGAAATACACGACGCGAGCATCCGGTTGCGGAGCAATATTTAAACGTTAATTATTGCTAACGTCGAACACGTATCTGTTCATCTCATCTTCGAATCCAAAGTTAAAATCAAATATATAGGTTGCAATATTTTTACGATCAAACGCATACGAAAAAAAAAATTTATTTATAAAATTTCCAATAAAAATGAATTTCTTTTTCGTATGCATTTGATCGTAAAAATATTGCAACGTATATGAAAAAGTTTTACTTCCAGTTTTTTATTTTATTTATAAAATTTCCAACAAAAATAAATTTCTAAATACAATACAAAACTGAAAGTAAAACTTTGTCAGTATTTATAAAATTCCCCAAAAAAAATAAATTTCTTTTTCGTATGCATTCGATCGTAAAAATATTGCAACGTAAATGTATA